TCGAGAACCGCGCCCGCATCATCACGGAAATCGGGCAAGAAATCCGCAAACGCACCACCCCCAGCTTCATCCTCGGCATCAAGCTCAACTCTGTCGAATTCCAAGACAAAGGCTTCAACACCGAGGATGCAGCGACGCTGTGCCAAATCCTCGAGTCCAACACGTTTGACTTTGTAGAGCTGTCTGGTGGAAACTACGAGCACATGGCATTCAAGCACCAGCGCGAGTCGACCAAGAAGCGCGAGGCTTTCTTCCTTGAGTTCGCCGAGAAAATCACGCCGTCGCTGTCCAAAACCCGGACTTACATCACCGGCGGTTTTAAAACCGTGCCTGCGATGCTTGACGCGCTATCGACTGTCGACGGCATCGGGCTCGCGCGCCCCGTATGTCTCGAACCCGAACTCCCACGGCAGATCATTGCCGGCGAGGTCAACGCTACGATCAAGCAGCGCATGGAAGAAGGCGACTTCGGCACTACGCTTGTGGCTGCGGGCGCGCAGATTAAGCAGTTGGGTAAAGATGAGCAGCCGATTGATCTTAGCGATGAGGACAACTACGCGGCGTTTATGAAGGATCTGGGTGTGTGGGCGGAGAGCAAGAAGGATAGGAAGAGCTATGGCCATATGGATGTCAAGAGTGTGAAGGCTGTGCCGTATGGTGCTCCTGTGACGACTCCTTAGATAGTAATAAATCCCGTAGCCCCCCCCCCCCCCGGGATGGTATGAGTTAGTATAATGAATTATTATTCCTCCTTGGAAAATGAAATGCTAGGAGGGTCTAAACGCCCTTTAAGTGACCTTGACCGAAATCTGGTATCCCTCTTTGACTGCCTACTCCTACCCCGGACCCGTATAAGTCTGTATCTGAGTATTCTCGTCCTCGGAATGGGCGCGCGTAGCCTGCTTGTTTGAGCCATTTTGCGAGGAGGACGCCGAGGATGGCCCAGGCTGCTGCGAGCAAGAGGACAAAGGGGATGAAGAACATTTGGTTGGTCTTGTTGGGAGAGTTTTGGATAGTGGTTTGATCAATTGTGAAATAGAGTAAACGGAGAAATGATTGTACTCGTTCTCTTTCTTTGTTTCTTGTTAGTAGAATGCAAGAGAAGAGGGGAAGTGTGGTCAAGTGCGGAGAATGCGGAGTATGCGGAAGGCATCGGCTGTCACTACCTTAATTGGCGCTAAGACAACTACATACGAGGACGGAACATAGCAACACTAGACCAAGGGGTTAGCACTGCAATAGTGAAAGTTAATTGAATCCAAGAATTTCCTAGTCAGGGGAACCCGTATCAGAATGGTATTCTGTCACGTATAAGCTATGAACGCATCACCTATTTCGAGCCATGCAGCACACCCCCATTCTCCACATGCTCCTTAGTCTCCATATCCTTCTCCATAGATCTCCCGCTCGTCTGTGCAGCAACGACTGAGCTGCGTCTACGCTCTGCTTCGTGCGCCTGCTCCGTATCCGCGTAGTTGATGAGAAGCTCGCCACGCTTGTCGTAGCGGTGCGGCAGCTCGTTTGCGATTTTGACAACGTTGAAGGCGTTCGTGGTGTTGTGGAAAATTTCATCCATTTCTTCGAGGGAGCGGTATGCGGTTTCTGGGAAGAAGAAGTAGACGGAAGGTACAATGGCGGCGTTGATGACAGCGAAGATGATGTAGGTTTGGTAGCCAATGTTTGCAAAGGCAGGGGGTGTGATCATGACGACTAGGAAGTTGAAGATCCAGTCTAGCGCGGATTAGTAGAAGACTGGAATCATTTCTTGCATAAAACTTACTGGCTGTGGTGGAAATGGCGTTGGCTGGAGCGCGAATGGACAGTGGGGTAATCTCTGCAGGATACAACCATGTCATGCCTAGCCATCCAACGGCGAAGAATGAGTTGAAGACAAAAAGCATGACAGTCTGCATACGTTAGTTCCGTGCGAAGCGCATCAAGATGTAAAGCAGCATACCGCGAGCAATCCCAAGCTCTTGTTGCCAATGTTACTAGTAGCACCAGCCAGAATGGCCATGGAAATTGACATGCCTGTCGCACCAAATATCATCAAAGAACGGCGACCAAACTTCTCAATGGTGAAGATGGCAATCCAACTCGCGATCCAGTACTCAGTACCGTTGCAGGCAGACAAGAGACGACTCAGGAAGGGCGAAAGACCAATCGAGTTTTCGAAAATGGTAGCAGCGTAGTAGGTGACAAGGTTGATACCAGAAATCTAGAACAACCTATTAGAATATATCATACGAGAGTTTTCATCAGCGAAATTCACCTGTTGAAACATCTGGTTGACGTAAGCCAACGCTGTACGGTGGAAGTTGCGGTTCCTGTTGAACTTGAAGCAGTCTCGGAAGCCACCTTGTGACATTTCCGCAATAACATCCTTGACAGCCTGGAACTCTGCCTCGATCTTCTTGTCGGTTGGAGGAAGGTCGCTCAGCGCAGCTAGTACCTCTAGAGCTTCATCCTCTCGGCCCTTGAGCACCAGCCAACGCGGACTTTCAGGGAGACCCGGGATCAAGGCGATGATGAATAGAGCCAAGATGATCTGAAAGGCAATAGGGAAGCGCCAGGCGATACTACTGGGCTCAAGGAACGAGAAGCCAAGATCAATCCAGTAACTCAACATAACACCAAAGACAATCAAAGAGCCTTCAATCATGACCATTTGGCCTCTGCGATGGGGCTTGGATGTTTCTGATTGCCATGTTGGAACCGTACTGGTGTTCATGCCGTTGCCAAAACCAGTAATCCATCGTCCGACGATAAGTTGAGCAAGTCCATAAGATGCGGTTTGGAGGATAGCGCCGATAACCATGATAGCAGAGCCGATGAAGATGGTCTTTTTGCGCCCAAGCATGTTTCCGAGCCAGATGGTGGCGACTGCGCCGAAAAAGCAACCAAGGGTGTATGCACCGACTGGGTGATGTTAGGATCAGATGCTTACATCGAGTATGTAGAATACTAACCAGTGATGGCCTGGATTGTTGCAGCATGGCTCGTGGAGCTTCCTGGGGGCGGGTTGACGCTGTCAATTTCGGGAAAGTATCTAACAAAAGACTTGAGTGTGAGCAGACCGCCCATAACACCTTGGTCTGAAGTATTGTCAGTCTGAAGTCGAGCCAGCAAGGTGAAACTATGCAAAAACACATACCATAACCGAAAAGAGCAAAATCCGTGCCTGCTATAACAGCAATGGCGATATTGAGCTGCGTGCCCCTGAGGCCGTAGAACTTCTTCATCGTGAGACTGCAAAGCCGATGAGAGTGGGTGGGTAGCGAGGTATGACCACGAGCGCGACAGATTCCTTCTTAATAAAGGCGAGTCTCCAACACGAGGCCTTGTAGCATCCTGTCGTGTCTGCCCACCAATGTCCCCAGGATTGGCGGCAAACAAGCCATGTTGAGCGGCGGCATCCCCACAGTTGCTTGAGCGGATGACGTTGGATCGTTGAGCATGGATGGATCCCAGACCCCGTGGAGTTTGGCGTGCGGAGTAAGAGATGCTACCCGGCCATCTGGGGTGGGCCAGGGCTCCCCGATTGTTTGATTTGTCGCGTGTTCGCCCAAGCTACCCCAAGTACGTCTGCAGTAGCTGGGCGGCTTGCCGTCTTGGGCAGTTCCGGGGCAACGATGATGTCGGACATGGCTGATGCTCGTGAGGCTACCAAGGCAACTTGCTGCCCCGGACCCTGTGATGCCGAGAGAGAGACCGAAGCTTCGGCATACACAAGATATTTGCTTGACGGCTTGCCAAAAGGCGTAGGCTACCCTGTCTATCCTCCCACGGGTACCGCTGCAGGGGAACACAAAGAAGCTTCCAAAGTTCGAGAGCTATCGGAACCAAGCAACTGGAGGCGTTTCCACAACGCCTGAAGGGCAGATCCCCCGTCGCCATGGGATACATGGAGTGTGGTGTGACCAAGGCTCGCACTCAGAAGTGTGGGGCGGAAAGCTTTGAGGTCTGTGGGGAATGCTTCATCCGACTAGACTCTCTTTCATCTGTCCTGCTTGTCACACTCCATCTTAACCGCTGTGACCACATGCATTGCATCCCTCCCCCCTGTCCCTATGCCCTGTTCGTCCGTTCCAAAAAGAAATATACATATCACGCGCTCGAGACGAGGCTACCAGTATAGCCAGTGAATTTAGTCAAAGCCAAAATTTCCTTCCGATATTTTCCTATGTCTCCAGTCTACTGACTAAGCTACATTTGTGCAATTGTGAAAAAGAATACATGACTTAGGTTTAAGAAATCCATCATCGTTGCTATCATCACTACTATCACCACTCTCCCCATGCCCTGCGTTCCCCATCAATGATCTCATACATGTTGCGCCTTCTCTGACTCATCTTCGCGAAGAAGAAACTGGGCGCATGACTCGGTCCAACAGCTCGTCGGGAATTTCAGGCGCGGCCGCCGACTCGTTACTCTTGCCGATATCAAGATGCGCAGAAACTTCATTGTGCGCGGATACGTCATATAACCCTTGTTCGTATGGACCAGGGTTGGCCCGTCTAGCGCCTTCATGTACCGCCCGCATTTCCTTCTCAAAGTCAATTTTTCGGAGCATGAGTTTGCCAGCACGGCGTAACTTGCGCGTCGATGTATCAAGCGTAGGGTATATGGGCGAGACGAGACCCATGCCGACAAAGAGACCCGTCTGCCACTCAGGAGCAGAATGCGCATCTAACAATTCTAGTGTCCCATTGATGTCTTCTGTTGCGTTGTAAATCGGTGGCCTTGCTGCATTAAGCAACGCCTTTGCCAAATCTTCAAATCCTTCTTTGTCTGACTTGGTAGCTGACGCAGGAAGTAGACTGCCTGAAATTGCATATAGCTGAGCCATGGTGTAGTTCAAAGCAAGAGGTGAGTCTAGGACTGAAATCTTTGTTATATAATTTGCTCTGTTAGCCATTGTGAGACATGTTGCACCAATCCATTGTGCGCTTATTCTCACAATGGCAAACTCAAATGCCAACAGGATAACCATATGGGTATCAAATGTGCATGGCCTCTCTTGCCGGCGCCCTCTCCATTTCGTATTCGATCTTCCGTTTGGGGCCCTTTGAGTCCTTTGACGGCTTCTTCTTGGGTTTCGGCGGTGGGCCCGCGGGACGCTTCCGCTTGAGATTGGCCAGCGTTTTCTTAAGCGCCTCCGTATCTTCATCTTCAGACGCGTCTTCTTCCTCTTCATCGCTACCGCTCTCTTCATCTTCGCCGCTCGTGCCGTCGTCTGGACTCTGGCCTCCTATCCAATCCTCAAAGTCTTCCATCTCGTCATCTGATTCGCCCTCAATGTCACTGACATACTCAACCTCGCCAACACCGTTCTCCATCTCCTGCTCGTACTCATTCTCCTCATCCTCGTCCTCAATACCGTCGTCGAGGTCTTGATCTCCTTTGAGTTGGCCTTCTTTCTCCAGGCCACGCATAACTCGTTTCCAGACATTGGGTTCGACGTTGATGCTGTGTTCAAGTTAGTCTCTGGATAAAATACAGTAATGACTAAAAGAACAACATGCGTTGATGCTCATTAAAAAATTAGAGTGTTGCGTTTTTTGATCCTCATAGTGGACCTCAGGGTTAAAAAGTGATAATCATAGCAGGGCATGGAGGCAGAAACAAAGGGACGAACTTACGGTCGGTCGCCATACGCACCGCTGCGCAGACGTTCAATCAGCACTCGCTCAATCGCGCGCTCGACCTTTGCAGCAGCAAGTGCCTTGCGTTCTCGGCCCTCCTCTCGTCGGCGAACCTTGGGTGCAAGTCTAGGCACAAGCCTCTCTCCTAGGCGTTCCTCTTCCTTGGCTAACCGCCTTATTCTTAGGTTCACTTGAGTCAAGCGAGTGAGGCGCTGCTTGTTCTTGTGAACCAGGAACTTGGGAAAGTAGGCAAGATGTTGATCTACAAGCTCGAGAGCTTGAGCATAGTTCTTGGGAAGTTTTATCTTCTCCCACCATTGTGAGGGAAGATGAGCGCGTTCAATGGCCTTGATATAAAGGTAAAGATTTCCGGTCGCGGGATCGGAGCGGATCGTGGCGTATCGAGAATTTGCAAGAGGGCAGGACTGCTTTGAGCAGTAACCTGATACATTGTGCTCGTTTCTGCAAAAGGTCTGGTCTTTTGTTGTTTTAAGCTCTAGCGCAAGTCAGTCTCAATTCCCATGCAGAGTTGTATGCATTGCCTACTGAAACTGCAAAAGTCGGTGCCGATAATGGACCACACTAGGTCGTCCGAAGCCATGGTGTCGTTGGTGGCGCGTTACTGTCAAGCTGTTGTCGTCCTGGTATACGTATCGCAGAAGCCTCGAGTGGCTCGTAGTATAACACAAAGTATGTGTGTTCAAAGAGAAAAGGCTCTGTCGCTCTGGCACAGGACGAGCAGGATGAGCAGGTTGGAGCGCAGGCGCAAGCCAGCGACGATCTCAAGAAATTATTTTAGCGTGTGCACGGACCACTGCGGAGGTGTGGAACCATTCCATCTTTGCTCATGTTCCGTCTTGAAAACAGCGACAAAATTGGCCAACATGTGATCAATCAGGTCGGAATGAGAGCCACCATCGCTGTTCTCAGTCGCATATGTCATACGAGACTGCAAAATTCTACTGTTCAATGTCACTACGTCTTCAATTCCTTCAATTGCTTACAGACCAGAGCATTGCGCCATGAACCCCACCACCATGCCCAAATCACCTTGAGTAGATCGCAGCATCGTCTATACCATGCAAGTCATGAAGACTCTACCATTTATGCGCTCTCTACGGCTCCCGGAAGGGCTGCAATAGCCATCATTCGCGTTTCTGGTCCAGCATGCAGGCAGGTTGGTGACCCTCGGCCCACCATGTCATGTCGCATAGGGAAATGCTGAACGCCTACCAGGTATATCAAGGTCTCTGTCCTTCCACTGAATTCCCTAAGTCCAGGCATGCGACTCTCCGGAGATTATATGCCCCGCATTTACCGCCTTCGTCTGCCACGATACTTGACTCGGGTGCCCTTGTTCTGTACTTTCCAGCGCCCAAAACTGTTACTGGCGAAGATGTTTTGGAACTGCATGTACATGGAGGCCCAGCAGTTGTCCGTGCAGTGCTGGCAGCTATACCTGAATGCGGAACAGTACCAGGAACTCCGGGATTCAAACGCTCACAAATCCGATATGCGGAGCCTGGAGAATTCACCCGACGCGCTTTTGCCAACAATCGCATGAACCTGCCCCAGATCGAGTTGCTAGGCGAGACATTGTCAGCTTCTACCGAGCAGCAACGTAAGCTGTCCGTGAGGGGCACAACTTCTTCGTTGGCTAAGCGTTATGAGAAGTGGCGCCAACTCCTACTGGAGGCGCGGGGTGAGCTAGAAGCCTTGATTGACTTTTCCGAAGACCAACACTTTGATGAATCACCAGCAATGTTATGCGCCTCCGTTGCATCCCAAGTCCAGGTCTTGAGTACACAGATGGAGGCACACATTTCCAACGCTGTACGCGGAGAGTTGCTGCGCAGCGGTATTAGTGTCGCGCTTCTTGGAGCACCCAACGCAGGCAAGAGCAGCTTGCTGAATCGTATCGTTGGGCGAGATGCTGCCATTGTCTCCCAGGAAGCTGGCACAACGCGAGATGTTGTCGAAATAGGACTCGATCTGGGCGGATGGCTTGTGAAAATTGGCGATATGGCTGGCTTACGCAGGGCTGGCCTAGTGGGTGGTGATGTGGTTGGAGCTGTAGAAAAAGAAGGTATCAGGCGCGCTAAGCAAAGGGCCCTCGAGTCGGATGTCTTAATTGTCGTCCAGGATGCCACAGCCGATATGGATGCTGAGGTCATGGAGACGGTGAAGCAGTGTGCTGACATTGGCATCAATGTTATAGTCGCTATCAACAAAAACGACCAGATTTCTGCTCTTGACACTATTCAACGAAAATGGAAGCAGAAAGTCCATTCTGCGCTGGGGCTACCCGAAGACCGAATATGTTTCATTTCTTGCAAAGAGGTCACGGCTGGCAATATACCGGCATTCCTCACTACTCTGCAAGACATTTTCAAATCTATGACTACGGCACTTGTACCCGACTCTGACCCCGATCCGGATCCAAGCATATGGCAAGAATCCTTGGGCGCAACCGAGCGTCAGCGTCTTCTCCTGTCCGAATGTCTCAACCACCTCTCTGCCTTTCTCACGACCGTCAAAAGTTCGTCGTCGGTTGCTTCTTCGACCAGGGAGAAAATCGATGATGAGGCAGATGAGGTGGACATTGTGGTCGCTGCCGAATGTCTACGGTCGGCTGCTGACGCCCTGGCTCGTATCACGGGCCGAGGCGAGAGCGGTGATGTTGAGGAAGTTTTGGGTGTTGTTTTTGAAAAGTAAGTTATCCTGGCCCCTTTCTCCTTGCCTGGTCGCATTGTGCAACGCTCTGGAAGAACTCTCAAGGCGTTCCTTGGTTTTGGCCCCCCGAAAGTCAGACGTAAGGCTCTGAAGGGGGGCTAAGCGGATGCGTTCTGGGGACGAGCCACAACGCTTGTAGCATCACGTTGTCCGTGCTGTATCGATTGTGGCACAGCACCTGTGGATCGTCGGGGCCTCAAAATGGTGGCCGCCATTCATGTGTGGCTGTCGTTGGCGGAGGCTTGTGATGGACATTTCGCTAACATTGCTTTTCTGTTAGGTTCTGCGTTGGAAAGTAGTAACACCCTCATACAGTTTTGTCAGGGTTCCAAAATATCTCAAACGGCGATACCAAAAGTATGGAGCTAGCCTAGAATATGTGATCAAGTAGCAGCAAAGTCAACAAATTGGCTACAAGAAGTCACCAACGTAATCATACTGCTCTGATTGGGAGTCTCAAAGTCGAAACCTAACAATGTTCAAGGAGATGAGCAAAATCAGTTAAAGGTGTCAATTTAAACAAAAAAAAGGTCGATGTAAGATACAACAAACTCCCAAAACTCCTCACTGTATATGACATATCCCAAAAACCCATATGCTCCTTTTGTTTACCCGAGCATAACATATTCATTAACACAACAAAAAAAAGGGGGTATTCCAACATGTTTCCTTGTATCCCATATAAACGCCCAGCAATGCCTTTGATCCGTGGTATCCCTGTCATGTCTAAGGTTTGCTTCCTTTAACGCCGTTGCTCGCTATGCCTGAATCCAAAAAAGACAAGAAGAAGTGGAGGGGTAAGGTAACAAAAAAGGGAAAAGAAACTAAAAATACAAGAGATGAAGTGTGGTGAATGTGTTGAAAGCGTTGAAAGGAGAATGTCAATATGGGGAGGTCGAATGTTGGTTGAGTTCGAGGACCGAAATGGAGGGTATCGTGTTCATCATGGCATCGTCATGGTACAAAGTGGATGACTTGAGACCCAGGTTGAAGAAGAGAACAGGCCCCGGACGATGCTGATATGTTTCAAGGTAAGTCTCGGCATTGTTTGACGGCACGGCCCGCTCGGGTCTTAGTTGTATCCGCCACGGCCTTGAGTAGCGGCGTCGTCCTGGTTGTTTGATGCTGACATTGCGGAGACTTTGATGATTTCTGATAACGTGGTGTGTTTGGAGTCTACCTTAGACTTTGTTTGACGTGGAAGATGGCGTAGATGAGGATGTCTTGCACTGAGGTCTTGAGAGTGAAATAGTGTTGGCCAAGACGACAAGTATGCAGAGTAGTATCCAAGTGGATGATGTTGGAGGTGAAACAAGAAACACTTGGTGATGACTGAAGAAAGGCGTAAAAGAGAAGGATGGATGAATGTATGTCTGACTGAAACCAAGACACAAAAAGAGAGGCGCGGACTCGACTTATATGAAACAAGAGGCCGACTAGAAACGACGACGGAAGATTGGAAATAGGAATAGTACACTCGGGAACCGGACGGGCAAAGGAAGGAAGATTAAAAAGGGCGCTCGGATGCTTGTGAGCTTGCGTATCCGTCCCAGCTTTCTCTCCGCCTTCTTTTTCAGCCAGGCATCCAAACCGTCTTTATACGCACAGGCCATCGTTTTTATCATACATGCCTACTAGGCCTGCCCAACCACAGCGGTGGAACGGTGGCGGTCGCGCGGGCCTGGTTCAAGCCACGATCTAGTCATCCGTAGCCGTTAGTCGCCGGCGAGCGGGGGTGCGCAGCAACGCGCCATGGGGATTCCGCTTGGGAAGACAGGAATAAGTCCCAGGGCGGCGTGGCAGTGTGAAAACAAGGGACCCGCCGGGTGAGAGAGCCGCAATGTGATGCAAATGCACGGACGAGCAGGGGGACGAGCGACATGGGTAGACAATGTGGATGGGTGTGTATGTACGTATGTAATGTGCGCAGCTCAACTTGGCTTGCTGACTACTTACACAGAAGCGTGCAGAAAGACGTGGGACAGAGCTGCTTATTGGTGACTTTGTCGTGCAGATTGCAAAGCACAAGAACAGAGGAGTCATTCTACACGTGCTTCGTCATGTCTAAGGCAGAAGTTGCGAGAGTCTGCTCCAAACATCTTGATGCTGCTCCTAATTCCTGCTTACAATGATGACAGTAGAATAGTATGACGATGCAAGACGACTGGGTTCGCAGCGACCATATGCCTCTTCCAACATCCCCCACGCCATGGCCTTGAGCGGCCCAAGCGAGCTCCTCCCCGAACGGCCTCCTTCATCCATAAGCGCACTTTACCGTATCATTGGACGACTCGGTACAGTCATGCAGCGTCGTTACCGGCCGTTTTCACTTCCCATTTTGGATAACCATCTGCACTGCGCAACTCTTACTCCTCCATGGCAGGAATCCTATCGGAGCAGCCCATGTTCTTTTTTGCAAGATGCCGCTTCTGAGCAAGCCACACGTACGTAGCCAGAATTCGTCGTGCGCGCCGTGTCCAAGTGCAAACCACACCTGCGCAACGTTGCATCATATTGCTCTGGACTCGGGGCCGCCCAGATGAGGGGGGCTTGGAAAAAGCCCGAGGCAAGCGAATCAAGTTGTAGTACTAGTCAAGATGCTGCTCGACACTATCGCAAGCATACGTACTCGCAGGTGCATGTCAGAGCGCTTGTGCTTTAGCCCTACCCGCATACCCATATGCCTGCCTATGCCAAATCGTGCCTGGGCAATTGGAACGGTAGCATTCGTCATGCAGCCCTTGGGCGACGTGTGCAGCCCTTCGGTGATGGCCTCTGGTGCATCCTGGTACGTTCAGCGCACAATGTCCAGCTGTACTGCCCTCCAGCACCCACTCCATGATCATAGCGGGCGACTATATGCCTCTA